GAGACCCCCAGACCCGGAACGCCGACGCATCGCCAACCTTCCCCGTCCACAGCAAGGCTGGAGAGATCTCCGGCCTGGAGACCCTGGGGTGAAGGTTGATCTGATGCGCCGCGTACCTCACCGCAAACGGCCACAGAAAATGGGGGGCAGCCGCATGCATCATAGACGTACGAGCGACGTCCATGACCATGCCAATGTGGCGCTCTGCAATCCCATTTTGCTGCGGTGAGTCCGGAAGCGTGAAGATCTGGCGGATGCCTCGCGCACGATAGAAGGCACGCAGAAGGCCGGAGGAGAACTCTCCACCTCTGTCCGAGTGCAGACGCAACACAGGAAAGTCCGAGCCAAAGCTCTGCCTGAGCTGGAGACGAGCTGCGCGGATCCAGTCAATCAGCACCTCAGTGACATCACCCTTGCTGCGCAAGGGGAAGACTGCGGTGTAACGCGAGTAGTCGTCAACAACGAGCAGGAAGTAGCGCTCGTGACCCTGCCCACGGACGCGGGCTGGGCCCCACACGTCCATGTGAAGCGTCTGCAACGGGGCCTCTGTCGGAGGAAACTAGGAGGAGTGAGGGGCAGCACGCTGGCGCCCCTCGACAGAGGGGACATAGGTAGGGCCAGGGCCCTGAGGAAGGGGAGGGAGGGACCAGGGGAGACCAGACACTAGAAGACGGGAGGCCATGCCTCTGAGCCGAAGCAGAGAGGGGTGGCCAAGGCGGTGGTGCCAGAGGAGAGTCTCGTGAGACAGGAGACGACACGAACAGGGGGAAGACTCAGGACCAGACCTGGACGCTGCAGCAAACACCTGACCTGATGCAGCGACCCTACCAGACTCAGCAGCGGGAGGAGACGCAGTGGTCAGTGTGTACAGGCTCGACCCCGGCTGACGGGTAAACGTAGCCAGGTGTCGACCTGTGCTAGCCTCTGTGCAGTGCGTCACCCGCTGACGCGCTGGAGTGAACTGGTGTGCACCCGCATCCTGTAGGTCAGCACCACTCACCAGGTTCGTAGAGAACGAGGGGAGGTAGAGACCAGACAGGGTGCCAGAGGGAGGCGCCGGACACGGGAGGACTGTAGAGAAGCGAGACAGGAGAGGATCCCCAGAGGGGTCAGCCAGAGACACCGCAACCGGCCGACTAAGCGGCGTGAGTGTGGTGCAGTCTCGAAAGAAGGAGCAAGACGCCCTAGAGTCAAGGGTGAAGGTGAGGGAGGCCGAAGCCGACGTAGTACCTGAGAGCGCAGACTCACCAGTACCTGAGGACGCAGACACACTAGCACCTAGAGTAGCAGCGTCGCAAGCACCTAGGGCAGCCGCCTCACCAGTACCTAGAGCAGCAGTCTCAATGCCCGGATCGGGCGGGAAACACCGGTAACAGTCACCCTCATCACTAATAGACACAGCATACATGGCAGAGAGAATAGCATCAAAGTCAAGATCAAAGATGGCAACACCCGCCCTAGACAGCTCGCCCCAGCGAGGGATCTCTGAGGCCTCCGGGAACTGGTGACGCCACGCGTCCGTCAGGCGGCCAAAGCAGCGCTGGGTGGGGTGCGCTCCCCCACACTGCTCACCCGCACGGTCGCCGGTACGCAGGACATAGGAGCACGGACCGAAACCCCCACCCCGCTGGCGTGCAGTGTACCACTCACGGAGCTGCTGAGGGGACAGGGTCTCACGACCGTGCTGCTGCTGCTGGCGCAAGCCACCACCGGAGCCACTCCTCTGCGAGGACCCGCGACCAGCTCCACCGCCACCCCCGCCGCCTCCGCCGCCTCCTCCGCCTCTGCTACTGCCGCCGCCTCCGCCGCCGCCTCCACCGCCGCCACTTCCGCCACCTCCGCCCCAACCGCCACCGCCGCCGCCGCCTCCGCCTCTGCTGCCGCCACCGACCCCTCCACTCCCACCTCCACTCCCACCGCCACCCCCACTCCCCCTACCACCGCCACCTCCACCTCCACCGCCCCCGCTCGCTCCTCCAGCGCCCTTGCCCCCCTTGCCCTAGCCAGGGCGGCGTCTCCCGCTAGGGGCAGACGCCGCACCGACCAACTCAAGACCAAGGAGGTCGGCCGCAGCAGCAGAGGCAACAGAGGGCAGAAGGGGGGAGGGGGAACACCCCTCAAAGATGGGGGTGCGCGGGTCACCTCGAGAGGCTCCTACAGCGACTATGCTCTTCTCTATCGCTAGGAGGGCCTTCTCGAGGAGGTCGACAGTGAGAGTGGTGGGACAGACTGAGAGGAAGTGGTCCCGGACTACACGAAGGGATTCAGGGAGGCGAGCGACTATGTAGTAGAGAGTGATGTGCATGGGGGGGGGGGGGGTCTTGGCGCAGAAGTCAGCAGGAAGTGCAGCGCGGTAGCGAGTGTCACTAGTGCGGAGGTGCGTAATGAGGTCAGCTACTGTGGGAAAGGCAGCAAGGTCAGGAAAGAGGTACGGTAGCATGAGACGGCTCAGTGCAGCAGTGGCAGGGGAGGAGTAGCGCGCGACTACAGCGTCGTACAAGGTCTGAGCACTCTTGTACTGACTAAAGTGCGCACGCTCGGAGGTAGGGAGGTGGCGACGCATAGCAAGACGTGCAGCAGCGTCGCGCATGGCCCACTGGGAGCGAACAGTGGCGTCAGCATCAGCAGCAGGGGCAGGGGAAGCGCTAGAGGTCAGGTCAAAGAGAGAGAGGCCGTGTGCCCTATCGCACTGTAAGAACAGCTGCAGGTCATCTACCCAGACCTCAAAGTCAATGGCCCGCCCCTCAGTGTCAAAAGTGAGGACACTAGGGGTAGCCATGACTGCAGACAACGGAGCAGTGCAAACAGTAGGGTGAGGGCAGTGCAGTGAAAGAGGCGCTGTGCTCACCAGACTGGGCAGCTCGGGCGGTCCGGAAGCAGGGCGGCTCGGTTGGTCGGCGGCTCGGCGGCTCGACTGCTGGGCGACTCGGCAGCTCGGCGGCTCTGCTGCTGGGCGGCTCGGCTGCTCGGCGGCTCGGCTGCTCGGCGGCTCGGCTGCTGGGCGGCTCGGCTGCTGGGCGGCTCGGCTGCTGGGCGGCTCGGCTGCTGGGCGGCTCGGTTGTGCTGCTGCAGGGCGGCGCGGCGGTCGGTTGCTCGGCCAGGTGAGACGGCTCGGGCGGCTCGGGTGGCGGGCGGCGCTGCAGCAGGTGACGGGGCCGATAGTAGGGCAGCGGGGCCGCAGGTAGGGTGGCGGGGCCGTTGATAGGGTGGCCAGGCCGCAGTTAGGGCGGCGGGGCCGCAGGTAGGGCGGCGGGGCCGCAGGTAGGGTAAGGCGGCGGAGCCACGGTAGGGTGGCGGGGCCGCAGGTAAGGCGGCAGAGCCGCGGGTAGGGTAAGGCGGCGGGGCCGCAGGTAGGGTAAGGCGGCGGAGCCACGGTAGGGTGGCGGGGTCGCAGGTAAAGCGGCAGAGCCGCGGGTAGGGGCGGCACGCGACGCCGTGAAGGGCGGCGATGGGCCGGTACGGGCGGCGACGGGCCGGAACAGGCGGCGCACGGGCGGCGACGAGCCGGGGTGGGCAGTGCACGGGCGGCGCCGGGTCGCGTAGGGTGGCGACGGGCCGCGTAGGGTGGCGACGGGCCGCGTAAGGCGGCACTGGGCCGCGTAGGGCGGCGCCGGGCCGCGTAGGGTGGCGACGGGCCGCTAGGGGCGGCGGAAGGGAGGTCGCTAGGGGCGACGCGACGGGGCCGAAGGAGGCCTAAGCGAGGCGCGCTCCGGGCAGGAAAAAAAAGGTTTCGATTGTGGTGGGCCCTAAGAACAGTTCCCACGAGGGAACCTGCTCGATACCATGTGAGAATAGAAACGAGAATGAATGAACTATGAATGAAGTGGGTACAAGTACTAACCCTAATTGGGTTGTACCCCCTATGGGATACCCCACTATAGCCTACACAAATGTATAAGCTATATAACATTCTGACAAACCATGCACGATCCCACTTGGTGCATGGTCGGTTGAATTCGCCTTATTGAGAGCTTCAAAATGGTGTGTTCAAAATTGATTTTCATTTTTTCCTTTATACAAGCGCATGCGCTTATAAATATGACTCAATTATAAGCGCACCCCCCAAAAAACAATGTTTTATTATAAGCGCAGGTGCGCTTCTATCCGGGGTATTACGATATATAAGCGAAAATTGCCAATAGTAAGACGGTGCGTGCGAGCTAGCTAGTGCGATGCTGACAGCAAGATTCTGGCTTCTCTTAAAGCGTAGGCCGATTCGGGTCAGGCCAGTGATGCATGGTTTGGCGAATGTAGCGCACGAAGGTGGCGAATCATCGTTACCAGCAATGCGCAAAGAAACGGTCGGTCCTGTAAGCAATGTTGAGATGCGCGGTAAGGAATGTCGAAAAAATCCTTACATTTAGTTACAATATGTGAGGTTGTTATTCAGTAGATGCACTATTTTGTTGCGTGTTACCACTATTTCCGGTTAGCGACATTTTTCGCCAAGTCGTGCTGGAACGTTGTAGCAGACTTTTAGGGGTGTAGAACTGGACAAGCTTCAAGAAGCTTCAAGCATATGTCAAGCATATAGGTAATAGGGCACTTGAAGTGAGTTGACTAGTCGACTTGAGATGGTGAGGACCCCCTGGACTTAATGCCCGTAGCACGCCACCGTCTTTTAGGCGATAGAATCGGGCAGCGCAGACGAACGTTGCGATGAAATTTGGTTCCCGGTCGAGTCTTGCATTTTCGCGATGACGGTGCACGTGGCTGCGATCGGTTGGTCAGTATGGACCAGCAGATCCAGTCTATCCCGTCCTTCGCTCGAAGAACCGCTCTCCCTCTTTCCGCCGCCTCGCCTTCGGAGCAGTCACTTATCCCGCGATGCTGCTCCACCACCCGTCTGCCGGTCCCTCGCGCCATCGAGCGATGCTCTACAAAGAGAAGAGGAACTTCCGACTTAATATTACATCGAGCGAGCGAGCGGTCGAGTCAGCGACCCTTTTTTACCCTTTTCCCGTCGCTCCCAGTCGTCCGACTCGAACCTCCCGCCAGCCATGGCGCGCCAGGCTCCTCAGCGCGGGAAGCCGCTGCTGCCGCTGCTCGCTCTGATCGTCTCGGCGACGGTCGTCGTCGCGCAGGATGCAATCTACCCCGTCACCTACGTCCCGGCCACTCAGAGCCTGAGGTTCGGTCCGGGGTACATGGCGTTTGTGAACACCGCAACCAACCCGCCGTCACTGACCGTTGTCGACTCCACTGGCGCGCCTGTCGCGCCCATTTCTAACGCGGACGGATCCGCCACTGTGGCCGGGTACACCGCGTACCCGAACGGCACCATCACTGGTCCGGGCGGCCTTTCGATCTACATTGGTGCGGGCGACGCTTTGGTTGCTATGGGAACAACAACAGTCCTGAAGAACGGAACCATTGTGGATGGCTCGGGAATAAAGCTCGTGCCGTCGAAGAACGCTGACGGGTCGTACACTGCAGGGGACATGACTGGGTGGTCCAACGGCACCATCGTTGGCAGTGGCGGCGCCGTGATCAACGCCGGCGCGCCGCTCACCCTCACAGCGGACGGCAGCATTGCCTTCGCCCCCCGGCTTGCCACTCCCGCGCCTGGCGCCGCCATCTCCTTGGACCCCGCCGCCCGCAGCCTGTCGTTCGGCGGCTACACGGTGACGGTGTCGCTGAGCGGCGATAAGCTCTCCCTCGTGGACTCCACTGGCAAGCCTGTCGCCACCACCCCCAACCCTGACGGGTCCCGCTCTCTTGGCGACTACATGCTCTACAGGAACGGCACGATCGCTGCTCCGGGCGGCATTGCCATCCACACTGCTGGGCCCAACGCGGGGCTGCGTGTGGGAACAACAACGGTTCTGATAAACGGAACGATCCTGGACAGTATGGGAGCGAAGATTGTGCCGACGGGTCCGAATGAGGACGGGTCGTACAGTGCAGGGGACGTGAAAGGGTGGGCGAATGGCACTATTATTGACACCAACACTGGTGTGGTGTTCTATGCTGGGGCGCCGCTGGCCGTCACAGCTGACGGCAGGGTCACTTTGGCTTCTCCTTCCATTCCGGCTGGTGCCGCTGCTCCCACTGCCGCTGCTCCTTCTGCTGGTGCCGCTGCTCCCTCTGCCGCTGCTCCCTCTGCCGCTGCTCCCTCTGCTGGTGCCGCTGCTCCCTCTGCCGCTGCTCCCTCTGCTGGTGCCGCTGCTCCCTCTGCCGCTGCTCCCTCTGCTGGTGCCGCTGCTCCCTCTCCTGGTGCCGCCGCTCCCTCTGCTGGTGCCGCTGCTCCCTCTCCTGGTGCCGCCGCTCCCTCTTCTGGTGCCGCTGCTCCCTCTCCTGGTGCCGCCGCTCCCTCTTCTGGTGCCGCTGCTCCCTCTGCTGGTGCCGCTGCTCCCTCTCCTGGTGCCGCTGCTCCCTCTGCTGGTGCCGCCGCTCCCTCTTCTGGTGCCGCTGCTCCCTCTGCTGGTGTTGCTTCTCCTCCTATTGATGCAGCTTCTCCTCCTACTGATGCCAGTCCCCCGCCTGCTGGTTCCACTTCCCCGCCTGCCGGTTCCACTTCCCCCCCTGCCGGTTCCACTTCTCCCCCTGCTGGTGCCTCTACTCCTGCCGCTCCTCCTCCCCCACCCAAGACTGCTGGTGAGTTGCTTCTATGTTTCTCCAATGTTGCTCCTGTGAATCTTCCGTGCATCTTCTCCCTTTCTGATGTGCTAGGAAACGTTCTCGTTTTCTCAAATAGTTCTGTCGCCTCAATCTTGCCTTCATGTCTGGAACCTAACCCTGTGATTCCGCTGCACATTTCCACACATCTCTCTAATCCGATACCTCCTTTTCTCCTCTCGTTTCCTAATTTTCAAATACTGTAGGATGCTCTGACCTGATTCTGTTTTCCCCTGTTGTTCCCCTCGCAATGGCAGGTTTGTTCGCTTCGCCGGCCACTGCGCTCACTGCTCTAATCACTCTCGCCCTTGCCCCACTCATGTTCATGTAGAGCAACGCAGCTCCATGTAAGACTAGACGAGGGCACAAGTGGTTTGCACTATGGAGTAACATGTTACGGTATCATTATTCATGGATTGTGTGACTCCTGTACTTGCTCCTACTCATTAACACTTATAAAGGTAAGACAATGTACAAGAATATCAAAGCTTAGGCAAGATGGTTTAGACTATCGTGAGTTTTGGTACAAAAGGAAAAGCCTAAGGGGTTGTACCCCACAGTGAGTACCCCACTAAAGCTACCTAACTACAACATATAAACATATGTTTGACACACCCCCATAGGCAAAGTGGGGGAGAACAGCGGGTCACAAGACCAGGCAGAAAGTGCAAAGCACGCTCAGGGTGGATCACAACGTCACCACGCAGTTTGAGCACAAGCAAAAGGCCACAAGGCCAGTTCACCTGCAGAGATATATATGTAACAACAACAGCTCAGTGATATCTACCTACAAGAGCAAGCATGCATGTATACATATAAATCACAGTACAAACAAAGCCTACAGCAATTGAGGAAGCGTGGGCACAAGGCCTAACAAGGTGCAGAAACGCTGATAATCACCAAGCGGAAGTGCCTTGGTGAATATATCAGCAGTGTTGGCCCTAGTGGCCACGTAAGCAAGACGAAGCTGGCCACGCTGCTGCACCTCTCGAGCAAGGAAGTAACGCGGAGCAATGTGCTTCGTTCTGTGCTCCAGTCTGTGCTCCTGACACAAGGCAATGGCGGTCTTGTTGTCGACGTACAGAACTGGAGGAGAACGAGGCCGCTCTCCCAAGTTGGTCAGCAGGTAGGTGAGCCAGCGTAGCTCCTGTGCAGCCATGGCTGTGGCGTAGATCTCGGCCTCACAGCTGGAGCCGAGAACTGAAGACGAACGTGTAGAACGCCAGGAAACTGAACCAGAACCAAGGCTGAAGGTGTAACCCTGTGACGACCACTGCGTAGCCTGGTCGTCAACCTAAGAGGCGTCCGAGTGACCAGTGAGGACAACGTCACCCCGTCCTCCAAGCACGAGCCCCATGCCCGATGTACTGCACAAGTAACGCAGTACCCTCTTAGCAACATCCATGTGCACCTTTCGGTGCCGACCAGGAGCCACGTAGCGAGCCAGAAGGCCAAGAGGGTACGCAAGGTCAGGACGAGTGCAGATCATCAGGTACATGAGGCAGCCCACTAGCTCTGGATAAGGACCACTCGGCTCTACGGACTCGTCCGAAGGTGGAGCTGAGAGCGAGTGACCTGTAGCCAGAGGAGTGGCCTGTGCTGACGACCAGGTGAAGCCGAAGCGCTGAAGGACCTGCTGCACCATGTGTGACTGAGTGAGTATGATGGTGCGGCGTGCTCTGTCCCGGGTGATCTGCAGGCCAAGGTAGCTGCGCAGCTCACCCAGGTCTGTGCACGTGTGTCTCTTCTGCAGCTCCGACTTCACCCGGGCGAGCGCCTCAGTGTTAGCAGTGGCAAAGACCAAGTCGTCGACGTACACGAGGATGTAGAACGGCGGCAGCGAAGTGTCGGTGCGCAGAAACAGCGACGGGTCAGCAGTCGACGGGGCAAACCCAAGAGCCGCAAGAGTCGTCCTCAGTGTGTCGTGCCACTCACGTGGCGCCTGGCGGAGACCGTAGATTGGCCGTCGAAGGCTCCACTGAATACCAGGAGGGAACGACCCAGTGAAGCCAGGTAGAAGGCGCAGCCTGATCTCCTCGTGCAGGCTGCCATGTAAGAAAGTTGTGCTGAAGTCAAGAGAGTGAAGCTCGTAGTCACGCTGAGCGGCAACGTGCAGCAGCACCCGAAGAGTAGTCATCTTCGGGGTGGGGGAGAAGGTCTGGAAGAAGTCAACTCCCTCTCGTTGACTGAATCCTCGAGCAATGTAAAGAGCCTTGAAGACAGGCGGAGAACCTGGCGGCCGCTTCACCCTGAAAATCCACATGCCACTGACGATGTTTGCCCCAGGAGAGGGAACCTCGTCGACGTAGGTGCCTGTGGAATTCCAGGATGCCATCTTTGTGTCCATGGCTATGTGCCACTAAGAGGAGTAGGGACCCTCGATCGCCTCAGCGTACGATTGCGGAGTCGGGATGTCTGGTGCATCCTGGTCTCCCTCAGGGGGAAGCAGCATGGACATGAGATGAGGCGCAGTGGCTGCAAGACACTCAAGGTCCTCCTGCCAGTCCTCGAGGACGTCCGTGCCAAGAGCACACTCACCCCCGACGAACGGAGGACAGACAGACTCAGAATCAGCAACAAGACTAGCGGTGTAGTCTAGAGGACAGTGAGCAGCAAAGTCGACAAGCTCAGCGACTGAGGCAGACGCAGCAGCAGACTCAAACGACGGGTCGGCAACAACAGTGGCTAGTAGACGCGTGACAGCAGGGTGCTCAGCATGAAACCGGTCAGACTCAGGGTCAGCAACGACAGTCCGTCTCACGGCTCGAACGTCCATGACCCTTCTCTTCCCATGGAGGTGAGGGCCCAGAACTTATTTGCCGGCTTGAGACTCTCGGAAACACCCTTCTTGGCTGTGCATGTGTATTGCTCTGACTACCTATCCCGTATTCGTGAACATGCCGACACAACGCAAGGATCTGAGGCGCTCGGCGCGCCTGAGAGTGCATCTGGCGAGGAGGGAGACGAGCACAGCGATGAGGACAGCGATGATTCGGTTGACGAGTAAGGAAGCGATGAAGACAGCAGCGATGACGAGGATTCTGGCTTTGACACCCTCTTGGAGATCTATCAGTTCATCGTTGGCTGCAACGGTGGTCGTGGCCTTTCGGACAAAGTCGTCGCGTGGCTGTGCAAGATGTTGCGCGACCCTTGCTTCGATCCCAGCGAGGTGCCGCGCTGGCGGTCTCGAAATGCTGCGAACAAGTACGGGCTTGCACTGCTGACTGGGCAACGAGAGTACGTGAAGAAGGAGCTCCGGATTGAGGGCTATGATCACACGTTTGAAGTCCTCTGCACCGAACCCGTGGCTGTGAGTATGCGTTATGTACATACCAGTAGGTGACTTGCGCGACAGTGGTATTTTCATTGGATGCTGTGCAACACTTCCACGCCTGGGCTTGTTTTCACCAGCATTACCCCATGTAGGTGTGCATGTAGAATCGGTAATCACATACCATCCCTCCCTTGGACCCATCAGGCGGTGCTGGAGCTGTTTGGGCACCCCGATAATGCGGAGGGGTTCCAGCTATTTGCGCAGACTGTGAACTCCGGTGCTGGTCGGATCTACAACACCCCTGCGAGTGCGACATTCTGGGAAGAGGCTCAGGTGTGTGCTTCAGCAGAGAGTGTGTCTTCACATCCACTGGCAGTTCCCTTGATGTTAGTTTCCTGGTTGCCCCGGTGCGTGTCTGACGAGAGCACCTGCTACACGTTTTGCATGCAGGACTGGCTGAACATACTGTTTGGGGAGGGACAGGTGGTTGCTCCAGTCATCATCTCGAGTGATGCCACTGTGCTCAGTGGGAATGACAGGATCAAAGTGTGGGCTGTCTACATAAGCCTTGCGAACATCGCTCTACGCCGTCGCTGGCTTGACACTGGCCGGGTGCTGCTCGCGCTCCTGCCGATGCCACCCTCAAACATGACGGGGGAGCAGAAGATGCAGCTGTTCCAGGAGTCCATGAAGCTCGTGCTTGCCAACCTTATTCTGGCCTCACACACGTAAGTATCATAACCCAGTGAGTGCATCTTTTCCCGGCCAGAGTTGTCCCTCGTTTCTGAATTGAGTTGCCTACTACGCACGTATATCAGAGGATTAAAACGTGATAAAGTTCCTTGTGCGTGCTTCTCGCCTGCCTGTGAGGGCCAGTCTTGCGATATATGCTCAATGACCTGCTATTTACGGCCCTGTACACCTGTACGATCCTTGGCAGAGGTCTCGCCGCTAAGGACCCCTTGGGTGACGACCGATTCATCTGGCCGCTGCTGTTCTCAGTCGTCGCCGACTATCCGGAGACCTGCAAGGTCTCCTGCACCATGCAGCAGGGCAGCAGGAGGCCGTGCTCTCTGTGTTACGTGGAGCGGGCCCATCTCCGCGACATGGATGCAGCGATGTCCGACAGTCGGACGGTGGTGCAGCAGAAGGACCTTATGGATGATCGTAGCAAGGCACATGACTACTCGACCTTCCGTGTCGCAGTAAGCCATGTGTATATCTGTGGCTCGTCAACCAGCTGTTTGTTCATTTCAGCTATCATGTCGCCAGTACTCATCGTTTGTTCAATGGTGCTTGATTGACGATGCTTTTTGTTTGCGATCCCCTATGGCAGTCCTTTCTCTGGGACTGGAACTTTTCGATGACGCCATGGGGCAACACCTACCTCTCCATGATGCCGGACATCCTTCACGCGCTGTACCTCGGGTTCTGGATCTACGTACGCAGCGCTCTGCGTGGCAAGGATAACCAGGCCGACAAGAAGGATTGGTGTGTGCCCATTGGTTGTTTGTGTAGATTTTTTAGGTGGATTATGCTTGTGTTGGTCTCTGCTGCTGCTCATGTGTGTGCTGCTATATGCTCACGTCGGTCTATGCTGTTCCCTGCTGATGCCCTGGTGAGTGTTGTCCCATGGTGCTGCTCCGTTCCGTGCTGCTTTGCTGCTGCTGGGTTTTGTGTTGTTCCCTGCTGCTGTTCTGTACTGTGCCATGTGCTGTTTTCCCTGCTGCTGCTTTGTACTGTGCTGTTCCCTGCTGCGTCTGTCTTCTGAGTTTTCCCTGCCACAGGTTTGTACTGTGATGTTCCCTGCTAGTGCTTTGTCCGGTCATGTACCATGCTGCTTCTGTCTTTTGTGTTATCTCTCCCGCTGCTGCTTTGTACTGTGATGTTCCCTGCTAGTGCTTTGTTCGGTCATGTACCATGCTGCTTCTTTCTTTTGTGTTATCCCTCCCGCTGCTGCTTTGTACTGTGATGTTCCCTGCTAGTGCTTTGTTCGGTCATGTACCATGCTGCTTCTTTCTTTTGTGGCGAGCCGCAAGACGCTCGTGGCCATTCATGAGTGGCACGAAACCTATGTCCGGGCGCCATACCACACCAACCAAACTCTCAGCGAGTTTGACACCGCGACATGCAGGCATGTTTCCTAGCTGACATTGTCACTTTCAAAGCCTCACTCATATCATTGTTTTGGGCTGCACAACTTTCTCACGTCTTTCTCATGCACTCTCTGTAGGCCCAGCACCATCACCCCAGTCAGATGCTGTTCTTCATCCTTACCCTCTGTCCCAACCCAGGATGGTGTAGCAATTTCAGTTGCCTACACCTGTTCTTGACTCGTTGCTGTGTGACCTGTCAGTTCAGTTGTGACAGACGTGGCATGCAATCGGATTGTGTGTACATGGCATATGGCGGATTCGGATTGGGGCGTTTGCATCAGGCCCTAAATGCTGATTCTAAACCCGAATCACCTGTCCATGTTGATCTGCCACTCACTCTTCCCCCCCTCCCAATCCCTGTGTTCCGTGTATTCCATTTCCCTCTCACTCGTCTATGTGTGCCAAATGCAGTTTGACCCTAAACCCACCACCCTAAACCAGGTCGTTGCTTGTCTCCGTCGCTCACCGTTCCCCAGCTGCCCCCTATGCACATCCCTTACCACTCTACACCCTCTCGGCCTATTCCCTATCTATACCTGTACGACTATGTGTTTGCAAAGCAGCATGGTGCGGAACGTGGAGAGCCACTTTCCACGCCTCGGAGACGGCTGGAACCTCATAAAGGTGCATCTCCTGATGCATCTTCCCGAGGCCATCAAGAGGGGTGGCCTTCCGCGCGAGTTCTCGGCGGCGGTGTACGAGAACGCCCACATCAAGACGTGCAAGGTCCCCTTTAGAGCGTCCAACCACATGCAGCACGCGATGGCTATCGCGCATCACAACGCGACTGCAAAGCAGCTCACCCGTCTGCCAAGCAGCATCGAGCCCGCAAGGCGATACGATACCGCAATGCAGCGGGTGAGATCTGGGGACTGCTGCGTATGATTGCGAATGCGCCATTTCAGATACTATACCTACCACCTTGTGTGGCGGGCGCGTGGTCTGCCAACGGTGCGGGGTCTTATATGAGTGATGGTTTCTCTGCTGCCTGTGATGTTCTCTGCTGCCCGCCTTCTGTTTGCCATGCTCTCAATTGCCTGTCTGCTGCCTGTGACGTTCTCTGTTGCCTGTGATGTTCCCTGCTGCCCACCTTCTTTTTGCCATGCTCTCAATTGCCTGTCTGCTGCCTGTGGTGTTCTCTGCTGCCTGTGATGTTCTCTGCTGCCTGTGATGTTCTCTGCTGCTTGTGACGTTCTCTGCTGCCTGTGATGTTCCCTGCTGCCCGCCTTCTTTTTGCCATGCTCTCAATTGCTTGTCTGCTGCCTGTGGTGTTCTCTGCTGCCTGTGATGTTCTCTGCTGCCTGTAATGTTCTCTGCTGCCTGTGACGTTCTCTGCTGCCTGGGATGTTCTCTGCTGCCTGTGATGCTCTCTGCTGCTTGTGATGTTCTCTGCTGCCTGTGATGCTCTCTGCTGCCTGTGATGTTCTCTGCTGCCTGTGACTTTCTCTGTTGCCTGTGGTGTTCTCTGCTGCCTGTGATGTTCCCTGATGCCTGTGATGTTCTCTGCTGCCTGTGATGTTCTCTGCTGCCTGTGATGTTCTCTGCTGCCTGTGATGTTCTCTGCTGCCTGTGATGTTCTCTGCTGCCTGTGATGTTATCTGCTGCCTGTGATGCTCTCTGCTGCCTGTGATGTTCCCTGCTACCTGTGATGTTCTCTGCTGCCTGCGATATTCTCTGCTGCCTGTGATGTTCTCTGCTGCCTGTGGGGCTCTCTGCTGACTGTGATGTTCTCTGCTGCCTGTGATGCTCTCTGCTGCCTGTGATGTTCTCTGCTGCCTGTGATGCTCTCTGCTGCCTGTGATGTTCCTTGCTGCCTGTGATGTTCTCTGCTGCCTGTGATGTTCTCTGTTGCCTGTAATGTTCTCTGCTGCCTGTGGTGTTCTCTGCCGACTGTGATGTTCTCTGCTGCCTGTGATGTTCTCTGCTGCCTGTGATGTTCTGTGCTGCCTGTGATGTTCTCTGCTGCCTGTGATGTTCTCTGCTGCCTGTGATGTTCCCTGCTGCCTGTGATGCTCTCTGCTGCTTGTGATGCTCTTTGCTGCCTGGGATGTTCTGTGCTGCCTGTGGTGTTCTCTGCTGCCTGTGATGTTCTCTACTGCCGGTGATGTTCCCTGCTGCCTGTGATGCTCTCTTATGCCTGTGATGTTCTCTGCTGCCTGTGATGTTCTCTGCTGCCTGTGGTGTTCTCTGCTGCCTGTGATGTTCTCTGCTGCCTGTGATGTTCTATGCTGCCTGTGATGTTCTCTGATGCCTGTGATGTTCTCTGCTACCTGTGATGCACGTCCCCCTTTTGTGTTGCATGCTGATACTATTCGTGCTGTTATATGATGCTGCCGATGGGTTTGTTGTTCTCTTATGCTGACGCATTGCATGCTGTATAATGCTTTTGAATCAGGCGATTGCATCTGGCCGACCTCAGCTCAACAGGAACAAGGCACGCATGCTAGGGAGGACCAACACCCCGGCTGGTCCACAGGACCTGTACTCTGCGTACGATGCAGCCCTTGAAGAGGGCATTGGGCCATACGCCTACGTGATGCGCCCGGCATGGGTATGTGCCTGTGGGTGCTTTACTTTTGTCATGGCTGTTTGCAACCAATCATTCCCAACACGTGTCATGAATTTGCCACCAGACCCAAAGCCCACACAGTCTGTATCTTTGTAGTGTATGCATGACCCAGTCACGGCCCGCATCTACCCTGATCCATCATGGGTGTAAGTCTATGCGTGTGGCATCCTTCCTTCCATACCAGGTTCACACGGCGCTGGCTCTCCCTCCCCGTGAACTCGACCACTCCATCGTCAAGCCGCACTATGTGAATGCAGTGCCGGTGCTGCATGGCGAGGCGGCGTTCTCCTTCTGTTAGCGAGGTGGATGGTTGTTGTGGCCACTTCGTGCATAGTTGTTGTGGCCCCAAATTTTGTAGAGTCGAGTCGGACGGGTGGATGCCGCCTGACTCGCTGCGAAGAGAAAAGGGTAAACAGGGCTCGCTGGCGCGGCCGTTCGCTCGATGCACGCGCGCCGCGGCGGTGCGCGCTTCGGAAGTTCCTCTGCTCGAGCCTTGCTCGGTGCGCGCGGGACTGAGTGATCAACCTGTTTCCAAGGCGAGGCGGCGAAAAGTGAGGGCCATCCCTCCGAAGGCGAGGGAGAGAGGGTCTCCGAGCGGGTCTCCTCTGCGCGAAGGATGGGATAGACTGGATGTGCTGGTCCTATACTGACAAACCGATCGCTGCGCCGCCATCTCAAAAAGTGCGGAACCTGATCCAGAAATCAGATTTTATCGCCACGATGACGCTCGGCTGCACTGCCCGCTTTCATTGCCTAAGAGACGGTTGGTTACCTTAAAGGCGTGCAATGCTACAGCGTGAAGTGAAGGGCCAAAGGACTACGCGTAGAGTCAAGGGAAACTACTTTCATCTCTTTCAGCATCTTCCGAACTTCTTTCTTCCCACCAAGTTCAACCACTGGGAAACATGACAATTTCGCACCTCCCTGCGGGGCGTTGAAAGTAGTGAGATGGCCTTCCTCGGCTGTCCCAACTTTGAACTTGGGACAGCAAAAAAGTGCACTTTGCA